AGCCTGAGCGCCAGCCTCGCCCCAGGCGTCTGGTTTCGCCCAGGGTCGGTATCTACGGGCTTTGCTGCAGAGTTTAACAGACGCAGAGGGTCCAGCGCCCTTGCGCCGCCCCAGTTGTTGGCTCGTGCTTGTCCGCGTGCGTGCAGAGCTCAGAAAGCACACCAAGGATATCAGGGAGTGGCTGCATTGTCTTGGTTGGGCAGTGACCGTGCGTGAGCTTTTAAGAACTTTGTAAACTTTCGCAAGTGGGTCTAGATACACAGAAATAGATGTACCCCAGACGCTTATAGTCCAACTCCCGGCCGAGGCTTTGGGGGAGCTATGGGACTGGGGGCGGGGGAGTGGACTCTGACCGAAGCACAGCCCTCTCCTTTACACGTGAAACTTTTAAGATTTTGGGAACTATTAAAGCAATGTCTCTGGAAGCTCATGATTAAAGTTACGCCCACATAAACCAGGCGGAAAAGAACACTGTTCTAAACACGGGGTCACCAGGTTGGGTCATGACCTCCCACAAACGGGCTTGGAAGGCTTCTACACTGAGAAGTTTCAAAGATTATTTCCTGGAAATACTGCTGAAATCCCACCCTTGTCATTTCCTCTCAGAGGAAGCTTCACACTTTCAAGTTGCAATACGTATATTTCCCATGGCTTACATGATTTGCGAGGCCACAGTGGATTCAGAAACAGCATCGTCTAAAATGAAATATGTTTCTGTTCATTCCAATGTGCTGATTTTTAAAACCTCATTCAGCCAAGCTTTAATACGTGAGATACACGTCATAAATGTTGATGAGAAAAGTGGGCACGATAGAAAAAGTTTATTATGATTTAAAAAGTCCCTTCCCACGGAATGCATCCCTACCCTATAGGACAGGGTAGAACTGCCTCATTGGGTTTCTCGGGCTGTAAATCTTTGCGAAAGCAGACTGGCACATCTTTGTAGCCCCCTGCAGAGCAGCTGGTGGATTGGAACGGACCTTACAATTAGCACCCTGGCGCTTAACCGTGTGCCACCAGGGTGCCTCTGCTGGGGTCATAAAACCAAACTCAGTCCCATCTAGTCCATCAGCAGTGAATAAAACCCAAGTCCCACCCTCTATATTTTACATGTGTAAGAAAAAAAAAAAAAAAAAAAAACTCAATGCCATCGAGTGGATTCCGACTCATAGCTACATCCTTTGGGTTTCTGGGGCGGTAAATCTTTCCTGAAGTAGATTGCCCAGTTTTCCTTCCACGGAGCAGCTGATGGGTTTGAACCACCAACCTTCTGGTTAGCAGTCAAATGCCTTAGGCACTATGCCTTTGTGTAAGCAAAACAACATCACAAACTAAGCTTCCTTTGGCCACCCAGTGTGTGCCTAGCCCCAGCACACATCGATTAATGCACAAAGCTACAAATAGCTAGTCGTGACCTGTACACATTGTTGCAACTTGACATTTCAAAGAAAATAATTTTAGCATTCAAGTTCTTCAGTATCTTCAATCATGTGTTTATCCAAGCATTATTTTACTACGTTCGTAATAAAATGTCAACATTGTTGTATTTAATTCAATAAGAATTTATAATAACTTTCTTTTGAGATAATTTTGTGGCCAAGTCATTCAACTTTATTCTCACTCTCTTTCAGTGTTTTAATACTTTGGGTAAATTTAAGCCTGGGGCCCATCCTCAGGTCACCAAGCTTTTAAATACTTTGATATTTACAAGCGATAATGATTCTTCACTACTCCATTTAGTTTGGTGTTAGGCATAAGTCCTTTTTGTTATTTATGTTCTCCCGTTTGTGCCACTTAATTGCAGCAATTCAGTGTTCAAGATCTCAATACCAGAATGCCTTTCTTACTCCCCAACACTGACCTCAGTCTGCCCCTTGCCTGCAGACTCTGATGTGGTGAATGGCAGCTCAGTCTGCCAGTTGCTCAAATCAGAAATCTAAGCAACTCTCAGTCCCCTGGGACCAATCGATCCTGTCCTGTGCTACCTCCCAAAACTCTCTGGGATCCCTCCCCTTCTCTCTGTTCTCCTAGCTCAAGCCACCATCTAAACTCCCTTCCCTGATTGCAACAGCCTCCGGGTGCCCCCCCCACACACACACCTCCATTTGGGTGCCTACTTCCCACCCAACCCAATCTGTTCTCAACATTCCAAACACAGTAATCCTGAATCTCCATCTTAACACGCCACTCCCATTCTCAGCTCATTTTCTCAACAGCGCTTTGCTATCAGAATGAAGTCCGTGACGAACTGTTTTCAAGTCTTGGAATGTTCCACACTTGCTACTAGGATTTTACAGGAAGAGCCCAGACCCATCACACCCCTTGCGGCCTGGCCAGTTCTTTCAAGTCTCAGCTCTGCCTGCTGCTGGGAAGCCTTCCCTGACCCCTGAGGCAGAAATGAGATGTGGGAGCTCTGGAGCTAATAATTGGCATCCATTCAAATGATAATTAAAAACTCCTTGTTTAAAAGGAATGAACTGATTTTCTTGTAATAAAAGCTTTATCTAAAAGCAGAATCACTTACTGATTTACTTCCATTGCGGACTGAGAGCTCGGCAGTCCCAGTTTTCTGTGCCCCTGGATCAATCCATAATTGTCCTTTGCACTTTTCTGAACCACAACTGTTCTTGGAAGGCATACGAGAGGGTTGAAATGTTACATAAGCAAATGAATCTCTCTCCTCTAAACAGCACTGTGCCATGTATTATTTTGTCTTGGTCTTCTAGCGACCTGTGACTACCAGCCTTAAGCTCACTGACGTGCACACACATGTACCCAAGTCACAAAAACACCCAGGTAACGAAATCAGCCTTCGGGGAAGTGGTGTTGTTTCTTAAATTTCCACGTGGAGGTACTGTCCCTTTTGGCAGGAACCAAACTGACATGTTACTAATCAGGTTAGGTGTCACCTGGAGGAACTTAAATTAACTTGTACCAAATGTGCAATTTAAATGAAGTGACTTAATCCCACCTCCTACCCTGGTGCAGGAGCTCTGGTGGCATAGTGCCTAAGGCATCTGACTGCTAACCAAAAGGCTGGAGGTTCAAATCCACTAGCCACTCCTCAGAAGGAAGGCTGGCCAATCTACTTCCCTAGAGATACCGCCTCAGAAACCCAAGGAGGGGTTGCTATGAATTGGATCCAACTTGATGGCAGTGTGTTGCATGCGTTTGTTTGCGATTATCCTGGTGTAGACTGGGCTCAGGGAAGCTGCTTCTCTGACTGACCTGGTCGAGCTTTGCCCCCACTGGGTCTCCTTGGCTTCCCTCCACGCCCTCCAACCAGCAGATTCCTTTCCTGCCTTCTCCCCAGGATAGGCGCCATTCTTCATCACCCATCGGTGTGACTCCTAACCACACAAGGAAAAGGTGCTGGGGAAAAGGGGAAATGTTTTCATCTAGGTGTCTCTGGTACCTGGTGCAATGTCTGACACACAGTAGGAACACAGTAAATATGGTTAAATTCATGACGTGTGTTTTTAAAACATTAACGAATTATGATTTCATGTTTAAGAATCAACCTAATACAGCCAATCCCCAAAATGTCGGGATTTATTAAATCGCTACTTTGCCACTTCTTAGTGATCTCTGACACCAGTTGCCCACGAAGCAATCTCTCTCTGCCCCTAGCCACCGAGAACTGGATCAGAGCTCGGAAATTAAGAGGCACTGCCCTTCAGACTGCCAACTAGGCAGATGCCAGCCACAAACTCAGGAGTCCACACAACACCCTTATTTTTTACCTGCTGCATGCAAACTTGGGGTTTTCCAGCTGTCCATTCAGGATGCCAGCCACAAGCTAGGGGTCCTCCCTCCATCTCCCTCACTTTCACCTGCTGGCTCCCACTACTCCTTTGGGTTCCATAATTTGCTAGAACAATGCACACAACTCACAGAAAGTACTATCCTTACAATTACAGATTTATTATAGCAAAAGGATACAAATCAGGGTCAGGATGAGGAAGAGATGAGTTTCTGAGTCCCAAAGGGGAGAAGGACATCATGCTTGATAAACCAGAGGGTCAGCAAGAAACAGGAAGACCCTCAAAGAGATGGGCTGACACAGTGGCTGCAACAATGGGCTCAGACAGAGCAACGGTTCTGAGGATGGCGCAGGACTGGGCGGCGTTTCGTTCCGTTGTACACAGGGTCGTTATGACTCAGAACTGACAGCACGTAAAACAACCCGCCATGTGTATTGATCGATATCTTTCATGGCCTCGGAAGACCTTGGAGCTTCCATGTCCAGATTCTTTATTAGAGCCTCATTGCATAGTCATGATCGATTGAATCAGGCTTTCCTCCCTCCTTAAGGTCAGCTGATAATCAGGCAACATGGTGGTCTTTCTGGTCAGGCCAGCCCTTACTTGTTAGCACAAACCCTCCTCAGGTGTAGTTTAGATAAGACAGCCCTCAATTGCTCAGGAAATTCCAAGGGTTTATGGTTATCTCTCAGGAAACAAGGACAGAGATCACATTACTTTGGGTAATGTTCAATTCTTTATCCCACAACTATTATAATTAGAATTTTGTCTCAAAATTTAAGTCAACATATAAAACATGGCTGATCTCATTCCCTTTAATCATCTCCTTAAAAACCATGACAACCAATCTTCAAGAAACACTTCTCTCTAGGTGTCCTCGAGACTAAATTTACATAGCCCACTGCCTTCAATTTGGTTCCCACTCTCAAAATGAGTTGCACGATCTGAGTTCAAAGTTTTATAAAGATGCAGTTTAGGCTGAACTACGTAACATTCTTCACGTCGCTTAATATTATTTTGAGCCCCAATTTTGACACACATACTACATTTGACACTACATATTCATATACAAGGTCTTCTTCACAAACCTTGTTCAGATGCTACCAATATGTGACATTTCAAACTACTGACAGGTCAAGGGTGAAGGGCAAAGGCCTTGGATAAGCAAAGCACTATTGAAGAAGAAGAACAAAGTAGGAGGTCTCACACTCCCAGATCTCAAAACCTACTATATAGCCTGGTATTGGTATGACAGACACATAGACCTGTGGAATAGAATTGAAAACCCAGAAATAGATCCATCGACTTACGGTCAGCTGATCTTTGACAAAAGGCCAAAATCTATTAAATCGGGAAGAGATAGTTTCTTCAGCAAATGGTGCTGGCAAAACTGGTTATCCATTTACAGAAAAATGAAACAACA